ATGTAAGTTATGCCATTTCCTGTCCCAATAATTCCTGCTGTATCAATGTGACTGATTTATCTCTGGTTGAAACATTCCATGATATCCTGACGGTTCGTTACGATCTCAACAGATTGATTCACCTATATACGTGACATACATATATATACTATAGGCATCTGAACAAGTGTGTGAATATTTTCATTTGTTTGTATGTTTTTTGTATCTTTGTTGTATTCATCTCGGTCTTGCGTGGTGATTGCCAAGAGATTGGTCATCAGCATCTCAAGGAAAAGCGATTCAGTTGAGGAGCAGTTGGTCCTCCAGACCAGTCTATTCAATCTACCACTGGAAAAAATCGCACGCTTAAAAGGTTGTAAATTTGATGTATATATGATGTAAGTGTCCAAAATGATGTAAATTCGATGTAAATCATTTCCATCAAATTTACATCATTTTGGACACTTACATCATATTTCCATCAAATTTACAACCTTTATGGCGCGCGATTTTTTCCAGTGATACAAGACTCGAACTACTGTTGGTAATGTTCCAAGGGCCAATTTATTTTATAGGGATAGAATCATCTATCCTCCGGCCCGACCCGATCTAATGCTGGATTTATCTCATCGTAAGATTGAATATTTTTGTTACGTTTGTAGAGAGTGATCAAAGAAAACAAAACCAAAGGTTGGGAGATGCTTGGTTGTTTGTATGCAGTCTTTATTGACTTCTGTAATCCTGTTGATATCCTCATCAACATTGAAGAGCTGGCTGAACCATGGAGTTTGGTCCACATAAACGAGGTATGCTATTCGAAGTATCTTTTATCTTCCTCTCTTAAAGAAAGGGCATGCGTTTGACCAAAATACACAGAGGAATTCAGGAAAACTATTATTTTGTTGAGGTCGAGAAGATTGATCGCTTTTCTGAAAATGCGGTTGAACAAAATTATCTTGTCAGGAATAAATTCCTGTTGTAGCTGTGTTTTGTTTTTGTCTGTTTTGCGGTGTGTGTTTATGAATTAAGACTGAATAAATTCAATTGGTCCGACAGACTTCTGGACTGAAATCGTTGAAGTGAATCAAGCAAGCAGTATCTAGTGTTATGAATTTCTCTCCGAGCCCTCCCATTCTATCAAACTGGTATATTATTAAGGGCCCTTCAGTTTGTAAAACCCTAAAAATGACCACATTTTACCCTTTACTCAGACCTTAACACATTTACATCTTTTTTTCCTGTTTTTTAAGAATATTGATACTGTTATTGTTTTTTTGTTTTTTGTTTTTTTCATTTCTTTAGGTGATCAGCAGTCAGTTGCTTCGCCATTCCTACTTCAACATCCCTATGGTCAATGCTGTGTTTAGACGATCTGAACGCAGAGCAAAGACGTTTAGCTGCAACTTTCGTGTGGCGATTGGGGATAGTGAGATCATTATTCCTGCTGTGACTTTCGTCCCTGAGGTAACTTAGCTAAAGGCCTTCAATGGCGGGTCTCCTTCGCGGTTCCCTACGCCACCTTTAAAGGTAGCCGTGCCTTTATTTAGAGGCGAGACGACCGTTGAGCGTGTAAATGATAGAAACACCTGCATACAGGTATCAATCATTGTACGCTCAGTGGTCGTCTCGATTCGATAAAAAATCTCGGCCACCTATCAAGATGGCGACGTACTATTATGTTATTGTGTTGACCGACAATACTCCGATATTCGAGTTCTGGTTTGCTCTGTGTTAGCCTCAAAACCAAGCAACAAATTCTTTTGTTTCAATGATAGCCCGAGAAAACGCATGGAATTTGACAAGAAAGACAATAGAATTGATTTGAAATCTCACTCTTATCTCTATATAAATATTTTGCGCACAAATGAGGCTAACACAGAGCAATGGAGAATTCGAAACTGGATTATTATATGATTGTGTGTTTAGCCACACATCTGCCTTCCCTTCTAACAAATATACTCTTCGCTCCATGCACCGTCCTTTTTTTTCTCAGGAATTTTTATGTGTGTTTGTCGATGTGCATAATGAAGGTAAGCAAACCGAACCGTTTCCTCACTCTTTCATTTTCCTTTTCGCATTCAAATTATTTGTACAGTAACGAAATCAAATACTTACAAGATTTATTTTGATAGTCATCATGAACAAGTAAGGAAACAATCTGGAAGAGTTTGTTGGAGGTTGACAAATCTGTCACTCAATCACTCACTCGCTCACTTTCGTGTAAACTGTTAAAATTGTATAGCCGCCAATGATAATGGCCGACGTAGTTGTTGAATAAGCTAACTCAAAAAGGTGTATTTGAATTATTTATTATTTATTATTTGTGAAGAGGCATAAAATTTCGCCTTCATTAGCACTCTCAGCAAAGTTGGTGGAAAGAAAAATGTAAAGTTTATTTGTTTTTCTTTAGATCCTTCTTTATCCGAGAGGCAGACTCTTCTCAGTGAAGTGCCATACGACATAATGTACCAAATGTGTCGTAAGCTTGATATACCAGCCAGAGAAAGAGGGCAATGGCGGGACGTCGGGCGCCATTTTGGTGTTTCCGAGGTTGATCTCCAGTCATGCTGTCGGGAGTATGCGTCCCTCGATGGTAGTCCGTCAAGGGCTTTGATGGAAATTATTTCCTTTCAAAGACCTAAGCTAACTGTTGGGGAACTGATAAAATTTCTGGAGGAACATGGACGCGGGGATGTGGTTTCTGTCTTGAGTAAAGTCAAGGACTAAAAACGTCTATTTAGTATCGCTGCAAACTTTACATAGCTTTGTTTTTGCTTTGTTTTTACAAAAAAAATCAATATGAAATCAATTTAAAGCAATACTCCATTTTCGAATCCAAAGGAATAACCGCTGATTTATTTGATAGCAGATTGATTCTCTTACGCAAAGACCTTACAAACGAGAAAATGTTGTGAGTACAATAGCGCTAACAATTTACATTTTCCCCTAGTTGAGGTTAACCCTGTATTCCCAGAAGGTTCATACCTTAGGTCTTATGGGAATACAGGGTTAGTCTCAACTCGGAGAAAATACCAATTTTCAAGGTTATAGTAATAACGACATTTTCAGGTGCTTTCTTTTGTGTTTGGTCTAAAGATCTTTGCACAAGAGAGGCTGCGCGCTGTCAAATAAAGAGGCGGTTGTTTGATTTGAATTCGAAAATCATGGAGTATTGCAGATAAAATTTCGACCTGAAATTTCCCTAGTATAATAAATGGTTTTATTTTTTAACACTTTTAATAGTCTTAGTAGTGAAAGCCTGCTGTAAAGACAGTAAAACATAATGCAAAAGATCAAAAGGCTTGAATAGTGTAATTTCATTTATCTTTATTCATGATTAGCTATGATTTTAGCTTGAATCTTATGATTGAATCTAATTACAAGTGTTGAGTGTGGTTAGCAAGAACTATCGCATTGATAATGACT